GGGGGGGGGGGGGGGTAGACGGACGCACACACAGCACAATGTGGGAGGAGCCAAGTTCAAACAGGCTGTGTTCAAAGCTGCTGAATGAAGATGGAGCAGCTGTTTACAGGCAAAACAACTTTTAAAAACAGTCACTATTCCTCCTCCTCGACCAGACGTCCAGGAGGAATTAAAATAGCAACAATCCTGCAGTAAAAGTTCCATCAAAACACTGGACTCACCTGGTCCACCTGTCCATGATTCCCTTATGAAGAAGAAGTCCAATTCATGCGATAAAAATAAATTCTTGATGATAAAAGTTTTATTTGTCAGCGATCTGGCATTAATCAGGCCAATCCTGGCAGCAAGCGGCAGGTCTGCATCCTTATCCGACACCCGTGGGTCCCTACACAGAGGCTGTAGGTTTTGGAGCGCGCGCCTTCGTCTGTAGGAACGAGGAAAGCAAGCTTCACCTTGTCTGGTGAAGTCCCAAGTAGACAGATTTCTCAAAGAAAGTCCAATTTCCAGCAAAGTTCAGTGATCATATACCATTAAAGAGTTGACATTAGTGGTAAAAAGAATCAGCACAAAAAAACAAATCATACGCAGAGACAAATGGCAAGCCATGTACACAGGCGCCATCCTGACCGGAAGTCAAGTTATATGTATATATAATATAAGTGTAGTGAACTAGGCCTCCGGTCAAACCTGCCTCTGAAGACCTTCATTGGACAGGAACTGTTATTTCATTGATTTGAATTCAGAAATACAAATTAGCTCATCCAGAGACTTTCTAATTGTATCCTGAACTAATCAATTGAAAGAACACTCTCTTTTTTATATTATCATTACTATTTTACAATATCTTGATAATCAAAAGTGTGTTTAGTTCAAACCATTTTAAATGTTGAAGTGAACCACTCATTTTAAATCAACTGTGAAACAGTATTAATGATTTTTTTTTAATCCTCATTCAAAGTAGAAATCAAGTTAAATGTCTATGTTACAAAGTAATTATGCATTTTTGATCTTCTGTCTGAAATGAGAAGGAGTGATGTCGGTCAAAAGTCGGAGACAGTCGCAAACAAGTTATTGGAACGAAATGTCGTGTTTTTAAACCTCTCAGACAGAAACAAGAAAACTGACACCTGTAGTTTTTCTCTCTTCGTCAAAACATTTCTCTGTCTGTTCCTAAACATCTCCGCTGTTTTCTCGACTTGTAATGACCCTCTGACGTCACTAAAACCACACCCCTTTTGGTTCTTTCAACCAATCAGAACTTCTCAAAAGTGACCGGAAGCAGAACTCTTTAAAAGTCGACACTTCCTAGTTCAGTTGAGTTCTGGAGAAAGTTAGAAGAGTTCTGGAGTGAGTTGGTTGGTTCCGTGACTTCTTCTAGTTCCTAGCAGTTCTTCCGAGTCTAGTTGGGATTATGGAGCCTTCCACATCTGAGTGGAACCTCTGACGGACTCACAGCTCGCTGTGTACCTACCCGGGAGGTGAGCGTGTTGTTGAACGGAGTACCGTCACTACTTCGGACGATTCTCAGCCATCCTAAGGAGACGCTGAAAGGTAGAGTTGAAATGGAACTCCGTACCGGAGCTGACCTATCTTCTGCAAAGGTAACGAGTCGCTTCACTACCTAGTGTACCGGGGCTGAGCTGGGGTCGGATGAACGGTGCCATTCCTAGTCAACACACTGTCTTCCTCCACATCTTTTCTCTCCATTTAAACTCCTTCATTTCCCATCTTGAAACTTCTATCTTGCCAATAATTAATCCAGATATCTTCAGAAATGTCTGTTGTTTTTATTAAGTAAAACGTGCCAAGTTTTATTAATCAGAACCGTCCAGTATAATCAAGTGTACAGTGTTTTGATGTTAAATTTTGATTCTGTTAATAAATGACCACATTTATTTTGATGGGTCAAAGAAAATTAACGTCTCATGTCACTGATTAAACCATCTACAACACAGTACCTCTGTCACATATCTGTCAAGTAGCTTGAAAAAGAGAGAACCCGTTATTAAAAAATTGACTGTAGTGGAGCTCTGAAGCTAACTGAAGCTAACCTAGCCTTAGCATACTACATAAGATATTTTGTACCTCTATCCACCTCCATTCAAAAAAAAAAAATAAAGTAGATAACAGAAAGGGATAATAAATAAATTAAAAAATCTAGTTAAATTTCAGGGTGAGGTTCTGCCTCAAGTGGAGCAGTTCAAGTATCTTGGGGTTTTGCTCATGAGTGAGTGAAGAATGGAGCGTGAGAATGGCAGACGGATTGGTGCAGCATCTTCAGTATTGTGGACTTTGTACCGGTCTGTTGTGATGAAGAGGGAGCAGAGCTGTAAGACAAAGCTCTCTGTTTATCAGTCAGGCCTTCCCTCACCTCTGGTCATGAACTCTGGTAGAGACTGAAAGAATGAGATCATGGATCCAGGAGGTTGAAATGAGTTTCCTCTGCAGGGAAGCTGGACTCTCCTTTAGAGACAGGGTGAGAAGTTCAGTTATCAGGAGAGACTCAGAGTAGAAGCTCTGCTCCTCCACATCCAGAGGAGCCAGTTGAGGTGGTTCATCTGCTATGGATGCTTTCTGGACACCTCCCTAGGGAGGTGCTTTGGGCATGTCCGACTGGGAGGAGACCCCAGGAAAGACTCAGGACACTCTGGAGAGACTATGTCTCTCAGTTGTCCTGGGAACACCTTGGACTCCTCCCAGAAGAGCTGGAAGAGGTGGCTGTGGAAAGGGATGTCTGGACGTTCCTGCTCAAGATGCTGCCCCCGAGACCTGAGTCCAGAATAAGAGGAAGATGATGGATGGATGGATGGATGAACAGAAGGATGGATGGATTGATGAATGAATAGATGATGGATGGATGAATAGATGGATGGATGGATGATGGATGAATAGATGGATGGATGGATGGATGGATGGATGGATGGATGGATGGATGGATGGAAGATGGATGATGGATGGATGAATGAATAGATAATAGATGGATGAATAGATGGACGAATCGATTGATGGATGGATGTATGGATGGATGTATGGAGGGATGGATGGATGGATAGCTAAATTTCAGGTTGCTGCAGCCTGAGCAAAGAAAGTACTAATTCAAAAGTTATGACACATATATTTAAACATGTGAGAAACATTCTTATTTTATCTTAAAATGCCAACCAGACATTTTATTTCATTAACTAAAGCTTAACCTTCCTTCAGTTTAGCACAAGCTAAATGTAGGCTGATGTGTGAACATCTATTGGAAGAAGTTTTTCATGAACTTAAAAAATAGCCACCTCAAAACATCAGAATTTATTTTAAAATCAGCAACAACTAAAATGAAAAGCACAATAACCTACTTAAATTATAGGAATTTGAAGAGACCAACCTGTACGATGATATGCCAATCAAACCAGTCAGTAAAAAATGTGGTGTGACACATTTGGTCTGATTTATTTACTATACAAAGTAAACTAAAATTATATTTCTGTTTCACTGTGAGACCAATGCAACAAGGTCAGAAGGACCATGCTGCAACATATAGAATACCAAATTAAACAGTTGGGTTTAGGTTCACAGACAATAAAGACAAACCCATTTACTGATATGTGACAGCTGCAGAATCCTCCAAGGGCCACACCGGCTCCTTGTGAACAACCCCCCCCCCCCCACACACACACACACACACACACACACGGTCTGCCTTTGCTAAGAGGTGAACTCACTCGGGTCTGGGGCCAAGCACTCGCACTTGTAGGTGGTGACATAGTCCGTCTTGAAGTCAGTGTTGATGGGGTAGTACTTGAACGCAGCCACCATCTTCTTGATGGCATCAGAGATGAAGATGAAGGAGATCAGACTGGAGAAGCCCTCCTCAGTGAAGCGTGTCATGTATTTGATGATGTAACTGGCATCTGAGGCCACAAGGATCAAACACTGCAGGCAGGAGTGGATGCCGATCCACAGACGCAGCTCCATATAATCTATGTCATTGTTTCTATGAAAGTAAGAGGATTAAAGACGACTTCTGTGATTAAACACACAAATTTAAGACACCACCAGAAATTGCATCATTTAACTTACCACTCTTGGTAAAAATGCATTGACTAATTTGCCCTATTTTAATAATAAATCATGATAATTACAACAAAGTGGAGAAAAAGAGTTGCCATGGTTTACAATTGAAGTCAGGTGTTAACATCCATTCATGCCCATTCATCATGGACATGAGTATTAGATTAATGTTGGGCTTAAAATACAAAGTATTTGAAGTGTTCTTTTGAAAGGTTGAATGACAAATAGGCTCCTTTAACGATTCTTTTAAAAGCAAGAGTTGGGAGCAATTTTTGCCAGCATAAAAAGTAGTTTTGAGTAGTTTTGACAGCAGCTTGTAAGTTGATACAGTTGCAGAACAGTTAACTCTGTTCTGCATAAAAGCTTCTTCCAACTCAGACAGGTAGCTAAGCTCAAGCCAGTGTTGTCCAGACCCGACCTTGAGAAACTAGTCCACGCATTTGTCACGACCCGATTGGACTATTGCAACGCACTGTATGCTGGGATCAGCCAGGCCTCCATCTCACGTCTTCAGCTCGTCCAAAATGCTGCTGCTCAGCTTTTAACTGGAACTCGTAGGTCTGAATATATTACTCCAGTTCTGTCCTCCCTTCACTGGCTCCCTGTTCGTACGAGGACAGTCTTTAAAATTCTTGTGTTGACCTTCAAATGTTTAAATGGTCTCGCACCCCTTCACCTCTCTGAGCTTCTGGAACCTTACGTTCCCTCTCGGGCCCTGAGATCATCCGATCAGCTGCTTTTGGCTGTTCCAAAAACAAGAAGCTCAGAGGAGATCGGGCTTTTTCAGTCATGGGCCCCAAACTGTGGAACAACCTGCCCCCCAACATCAGGCAGGACACCTCCCTTCAACCTGCCCCCCAACATCAGGCAGGCCACCTCCCTTCAACCTGCCC